CCCATGAAACCCAGAAGAGCTTACCTTACCCCTGCCCTGCTGGGACTGGAGCTGGCGGCAGAGCACATGTACAAATTCCCAGGGTCACAGGGAACTCAAGGCCTACATCTTTTAGGTCTGTTTTTGTAGTTCTGGGGAATGTGGGTCGTCTCTGGCTCAGTAAGACTGCCAGTCTGCTTCAGGCCGCTCACACCAATCTGTTCACTGGGACTAGGAACCAAGTAGGTATCTCTGACCCCTTGCTCTTCCACAAACCCACTTCCTAGGCAGAGGACACACATTGCTGGTGGCTGTGGCTCCCTTTCTGATGGTTCTGCAGTTGCTTCTCTGGGCTGGCTGTGCCCTACTGTGACATCCTAGCCCCCTGTGACAGCCTAACCTGGGGAGGCAGAATGGCAGGTCGTCTACAGGGAGAAGTGGGAGCAGTTCTCTCAGGCAGCCCATCTGCCACAGGCTTGGTGACATGGTGCTGGACAGCACAGGTGACAGATGCAGGCAACCTGGGTGGTGCTGGAGACCCGCCCATAAAGCTAGCTGCTCTAAGAGGGGTGACTCCCCTCCTCCCTAGGAGAGAGCATGCCTGCCTGGGGTTACAAAGTACAGGCAGCTTGTCAGTGAAACCTTGTCAAGGAAGGGACAATACTTCCTATGTCAGCATTCCAGGAGGTAGCTCAGCGCAGGGTACTGGAGATGCTCTAATAAATGCTAGCCATGGATGTCAGTGTTTCTTCAACTTCACAGTCCCCATCTCCAAAAACAGGCCTGTGCCACCACAATGCTTTACTCCTCCCCACGATCAAATAGGCACCGTCCCCAAACAGGTGAGGCTGCTGGAACCTGAAGGAAGGGTGAAAGGCTATGGTATTTGGGTTATGAGCCTGGCCCAGGTGTCTCTGAGGAGAGACAACTTCTGTGTGAAGCTGACAAAATGATCTATGAGGTCTGAAAATGAGGTCCATAAGGCAGAAGATGAGAGGATGATCTTGGAAATCCTAAGATGTTCATTGTTCCCAGCTGAGGTCTTGCTTTCCCTCTTCGTTGGAAACCAAATTAACTGAGCACCTACTGTGTACCAAGTGGCCCATCTCAGTTAACCCTTCCATCAGGCAGGATATACGGCAGCAACAAACAACCCCAAACATTAGAACTTAAAGGACAAGGTTTAGTTCTTATTCTGGCTACTTGTTCTCATCAGTTTAGCAGAAGCACTCTTCTCATGCAGATCCCTCAGGGACAGAGGCTCTCTTTTGACATAGCTCTACCATTACCATGGCTGGACAGAGTAATGCTCTGGGCCACACAGACCTCACTTCCGAGGGAATTCCCACTTGTTTCTTTCCATAAGTCCCTGCTGCCCTCTGTAATCCTAGGCATTTGAAAACAAAGTAATTTACCAGCATCAAAGTTCCTTGGGCAAGAAAGCCCTAAATCAAACTACTGCTGACATAGGAGAAGGGTGAAGTTCAGAAGAAAAAGACACAATTAGTTTTCTTGAAAAATTATCCTGTCTCCCTTAAACAACCATGGTGGGAGGCATACCATCATCCTCACATTTCAGTTGGGATTGGGCTTAGCCATAAACAAGATAGTTTCTTTGTCTCATGTAAAAGAAGTCTGCTGGTAGCAGTCTAATGCTGGTGTGGCACCACCATCATCATTAGCGACAGATACTGTTTCATCTATTTGATCAGCAGTCCCCAACGTTTTTGGCACCAGGAACCAGTGGAAGACAATTTTTCCACAGCCTGGGGTTGGGGGGAATGGCTTTATACCCTGCCACCAGAAGCAGCTTATTTGCCACTTGCCACTCACTGATAGGGTTTTAATATGAGTCTGTAAGCAACTGATTAATATATCTGTGCAGTCAAATCTCTCTGCTAATGATAATCTGTATTTGCAGTCACCACCCAGTGCTAGCATCACAGCCTCAGATCAGGCATTAGATTCCCAAACGGGGCGTGCAACCTGGATCCCACCATCTGCAGTTCACAGTAGGGTTCGTGCTCCTATGAGAATCTAATGCTGCTGCTGATCTGACAGGAGGTGGAGCTCAGGCAGTAATGCAAGCAATGGGGAGCGGCCGTAACTACAGAGGAAGCTTTGCTCACTCACTTGCTGCTTTCCTCCTGCTGTGCAGCCTGGTTCCTAGCAGGCCATGGCCTGGGGGTTGGGGACCCCTGTATTTAATCATTCTTGGTGAATAGCTTTCCAAAGTCACCTCATCATCTAATATAACTGCTGGAGAGTCACTTACCATATCTGCATTCCATGAAGCAGGAAAGAGAGAGGCAGAAGGACAAAAGAGTACATCTAGCTGAGTCAGCACCCTCTAAGCAGCCTCTGCTAAAATGTCTCTCCTGCTCCTGCTAACATCCCATTGGCCAGAACTTAGTTACATGAATGACTGCAGTGGAGGCACCTTTTACCCAGGTGCTTCACTGACCCACAAAACATCAGGGTGTGGTTACTAAAGGAGGGAAAATGGATATCAGATGGCAACCAGTCATCTGCTCTCTCATGTCACTCATGAGGACACTAAGGGTTAAGAAAGGACTTGACTTGCCCAAGGTCTACAGCCCATGAGCAGCAGCACTGAGGAGGTAAGACTGGAACTTGGGCCACATTTGGTGAACTCGATCATCATACAGAGGCTGCCAGAACCCGTACCTCCTGGCCATTCCTCTACATAATGTCTATTCTCACCCAGGCACAGCACACAAGATGTGAACCAAGCAGAGCAGACGTTAATAGGGTTCTCCAGGACTGAAAAATTTGAATAGCACAGTGTTGGTAAGGCTGTTTTGGTAGGAGTTAAAACTAGTAGCCAGCCTTTATGAAAGGTGTGTTGGTTCAGATTAGGTTCAACTATAAGAAGAAAATACAAAGTGGTTTAAACAAGATAGATGTTTTATTTCTCTCTCACATTCAGAAAATAATCTCAAGGCAGGAAATGCAGGGATGTAATGGATGTCAGGGGCATGAGTTCCTTTTATCTTGTTGCACTGCCACGAGAGGCTTACATTTCCCAAGATATCCCCATGATTCAAACAGCCGCAACACTCCAGCCATTGCAACTACAACCCAGTTTAGTGGGAAAGAACAGGGCTTACCCTCTTTCTAAGGGAGTCACATGCACACTTACACCCCATTGGCCAGAACTGTCACATGGCCACATCCACCTGCAAGGAAGGTTGGAAAATAGAGTCTTTATTCCAGGCAGCTGTGTATCCAGCTAAAAATCAGATTCTATTACAGCGGAGGAAAAGGAGAGTATATGTTGGAGGGCAGCTATTAGTCTCTGCCAGAAAACTATATGACTAATTAAAACAACTTAATTAAGATTGTGTGTTCTAGCAATTACCCTTACATTAGTTACCAAAAGCATATTTATAAGAATTTGTTGTTGCCAAATATATTAGAAACAAAAGTCCATCCCAAGGGGACTGGTTAAATAAATTGCAATGTATCCATAATGATACATGCCCCTGCCAAAGTGAATGATCATCACCATATCAATTATCAAGTGGAGAAAACAAACTACAGAGCATTTACATTTCCAAACCAGGGGTAACACGCACACGCACGCACGCACGCACGCACGCACGCACGCACTTCCATAGGACTACGGAGACCGCCCCCCTACCCAGGCCTCACAGTGCTTCTAGGAGGCAGGGTAGAAAACTGAATGTCAAAGTCACAGAGATTCACGTCCTACTGAATAACCCTTGTTTCATGAACTTTTTTTGCCACCTACATGTATTACTTATTTAAAGATACAAACTTTAAAATCAGAACAAAAAAATAGCAGGCTTTTCTTCTGTTGACACCTGATGACTTGTCTCCTTACTCACTAATCTCACTGAGTAAACTAGACTGTCACTATGACCCCTTAGATTGTGTAAACATCAAAGGCTCCCAATATTGAACCCAGCTCTGGATTTAACTGTCAATCTCCCTGTGTGGCCTCCACCACTTGCAGGCTTTCCTTCCTTGCCCAACAGGATTCTTCAAATGCTGTCAGGTTGCAGCAAAGTGTACCATGTGGAGAATCCTGCCAGGACTCTCCAGCAGCCCTGGGGTCCCCTCAGCTGGGAGCGCAGCTCACTGGCTGTGCCTTTGCCCTTTCCATGCTCATACTACTATCAGCCCTCTGGACCCAGTGTCCTGGGGAGCCTGGCACATTGTCCCCACTGTCACAAGCTGTGTTGGAGCTGGTGCTCTCACACCCTCCTGAGAAAAGGGGCAGCAGTGGAGGTGGGTGCCAGGCCTCACCCTCAATAGCCCCTGCTCCAGCTAAGACCACCTCCTTTCTGACAGTGGTAATTACATAACTATAACTCCCTTTTTTCTCTGGCTGCCAAACAACTCAAAGCCAAAGTTAGCTATACCAGCAACAATATGGACACATGGAATCTTCCTATTTCCATTTTCCCATCCCAGTGTTTTACTCTGACTTTCCCCATTTTCACTTCATTGCACCCATTCTTATTATGAATGTCATTCCCCAGTATCCTGTCTCCTGAGTGCCTACTGTGTGCCAAGCTCTGTTCTAAAGGCTAAAAACAATTACTATCATTATTGTTCCATTCCCAAATGCCAGTCATTCACACTTATTAGTGTCTAGTTCTTACAAAATCCCTGCAGGACAGGGCTTTTTATCCCTTTTTACAGATGGTAAAACTGGAGCTGTAGGAGGGAGTGGCTGGCTCAAGCCAACAGTGCAGAAGAGATAGGACAAAACCCAGATGGTTTATTCCAATCCCTACACTCTTCAACAGGGCAGAAAAACAGTCCACAGAAAAATCTTTTTCCATATTTGTCTCTTCCACTCAAACAGGGATGGCTAGGGTCAGATTTCATTCCACCTCCCAGCAGCCAGCAGGGCCTACACACTGGCCAGTGTTCCTTGGTTGGACCTCCCTGGGCTCAGGATACAGAGGGATCTGCCAGGACATCTGAATACCCCAGCCCTTGAGCCCCTGAAAGGAATCAGCCACATATTCTTGCAGTCTCCACAGCAACACCTATTCCTTTTCCTTTTTATTAAAAAATACATCAAGAAAATATACACGATTCAGCCCACCTGCAAGAGTGGGCTTTAGGAAGGCCAAAGTGCTGTAGGGAGTGGGCCAGATCAGTCCTGGGTGCCCAGGCTTTCTCCATTGGAGAAAAGAAGTGCCCTCAGCCAGCCTAGCCAGGACTGGCCCTGGGAGATCAAAGTCTGGGCCACATTGCAGAGCAGGGCAAGGGCAAGATGGAAAGGAGAGGGACAGCTAGGGCAGAGGTGGCTAGGGGACCTGGGAGCCCAGCAACAAGGACAGAGCCTGCACACCAGTGCCACCTAAACAAGGTGTCATGACCTTATCCTCCTCCTCCAGGGATCTTGTGCTACCTGGCCTCCTCTCCCATCCATCCTCCATGGGCCCCAGCAGTCTTTTCCAGACAGCTGCACTCAGGCATTGAGAGTCTTCCAGCGCTCACTGTCCGAGCTGTTGATACTGTCCGTGTGGCAGGGCATGGAAGCAATGTCATCCAGGTAGGATACCCCGCCGGCTGAGTCGAAATGTGTGCTGGCAGCACCTGCTGCCTCTGGACCCTCCCGCCGTGTTACAGCATAGGGCTGTGGCAGGTGCATGTCTGGTTCCTCAGTTTCATCCACTTGGCATTTGTAGGAGAAGAGGATCTTGGGCTCTGAGCTGGTAGGGAGGACAGAGGGGCAGGGGAACCCTAGTATCTGAATCCAGAAAGGACCTCCCCCATTGGGCAATGAGGCCATCAGACCGGGAGGACATATGCTAATGGCTGCCTAACACACAACCTGAGGTCCCTATTTCTTGAACTATGGAATCCAACAAAGCTAAAACCCAGCCTCCTCCTCCTGGCTGTGCGCGCTTATGTAAAATGTTCTGGGTCTGCTTTCTCACCCCAAATGGGTGCAACAACCCCAGCCTCAGAGGCCCTTTGTGGAGGGTGAACAGCCTAAAACAGTACTTGGCCCAATGTATTCAGCAAGCATTGGCTCCGATCTCCACCTCTGCAGTTTCCATACTACTCACTCTGAACTCACCCAATCCCTCAATCCTCAGAATCACTTTCTGAGGGAGAAAGCACTGCACCTAATTTACAAACAGTAGCCTGAGGCCAGATTGGTGCTAGGCTGCAATCTATCTAGTCCTTCTCACTCCACCTCTAAAGCCCTCTCCTAGCTTTCCCATTCCGGAGGAAGATTACCCCACCCCACCCTCAGACCTGGCAGGTGGGGAAGGGTGGGGTTGTGGAAAAATGCTTGAACTTCCACCACCTCAAAGGCCTGGGGTCTAACCCTTAATCTTGTACATCATTAGCATCCCATCTCCCTAATACACCTCCATACAAACATTTGCACAAAAATGCACCCATCCCAAGCTCAAATACACACTGAACTCCTCCTAAGCCTGCTCTTCTGCCCAGTCACCCCCAGCTAAAATACAAGCTCCGTGAGCATGAGATTTGTGTATATTCTGTTCCCAGTTGTACCTGTGGCTACAGCAGTGCCTGGCAGTGAATGTATGCTAAAGGAATGACTAATCTATTCTGAAATGAAAAACAGCAAGTGCAAAACAATGTGCATAGCCAGTCTCTCTTGTGGGGAAAGTGTATATGTATGTATATGTGCATATATGTATGTGAATATGCATATGTGGGTATATAGGTATGCATATATCTGTGTATGTATGTATATGTGAGTGTGCGAGTATGTATATATGTCTATATATACACATACATACACGTACACTCCATCTGCCTTGTCTGTCCTGTCTTAGACTGCATCTGGAGCAGGGAAGCTCTAGAGGCCATATTATACAGGTGCACAAGCACAAGAAACAGAAGGCAAGGTTCTGCCTGAAGCCACACAGGGGCTCCTGCAGCCCTCCAACCCCCAGCGGTGAGCGGGAAAGCCCTGAGCTCTGCAAAGACCTCCAGCCCACCAGCCCCATGGGCCCCTGTGGGAGGACTCACCCGAAGAAGCCCCGGAGGAAGGCCACGTAGATGAGGGGTGCGAAGAAGCTGAAGTAGAGGAACGTGGTGGCATCTACACAGCTGGGGGAGGAGGCAGGTCAGAGCAGGCCTCATTGGGTGGGACCTCCCCAGGCGGGCAGGGCCTCCCAGTCCCAGCTCCCCAAGCTTCCATACCAGAGCCCCTCGATGATGTCAGCACAGAGCAGCGCGCTTCCCAGCCCCTGCAGCAGGTTGAGCAGTGCCAAGATGCCTGCGTACACATAGAAGCTCCTCCGCGCTGGGAGGTGGGGGGTGTGAGGTCCTGCCCTCTCCCCCACAATTCATCCCTACTTCATCCCAAGTGTGTGCCTGAGGCCCATCGGTCCCCTGTGCATCCTTCTTTCCTTCTCTCCCACCCAAGGCTTTCCAGCTCCAGGCCACAGTGGCCCAAAAAGAATCCCTCCCCCAATCCAGGATTGTCCCAGAGAGGCTCACAAGGCAGGGAGATACGCTCCTTCAGAGGGGTCTTGGGAAGCATGACCACCAAAGAGTACACCTGCAGAGACAAAGAGGAGCTGAGAATGGTGCTGGGGAGAACCAGGCCCAGAGTTAGGCCAGGCCCCAGCCCACCCAGCCACCCCCAGGGTGCCCAGGCCGGGGCCCACCCTCTGCCTCACCAGGAAGAAGAAGCAGGAGCTGACCAGCCAGAACTGGCGGCCCCCATGTCCGTAGATGTTAAAGTCCTCAGCTGAGAGATGGGCATCGGGGTACAGGATCTCCAGTGTCCCCTGCAGGAGCAGGCAGGAGAGAGTCTCACAGGCTTCTGCCACTTGGAAAGCCCCTTCCCTGGGGCCTTTCACAATGCAGAGCTCCAGATGCTCTCCACCACACCAAGCCCAGACCCAGCCTGGCCACTAGAGGTTCCTGCTGCAGCCTGCTTTCTGGCCAAACCCTGCCCATTCTAGCTCCAGCACCCAGCAGGCCTAGCATGCGGCAGGGGACAGAGCTGGGCAAGGGACATTCCCTGTCCCAATCTAAGAAAGAGGTCTCGATACAGGGCTCAGTGTGGTCTGCAGACCTACATTCTTCTACCTGAGCTGCCTGTTAAAACTGCAGGTGATAGGCACCCTCCCCTCTGCCACCCCACCTTATCAGACAGGAATCTGGGAAGGGCCCTCAGAACCTGCCTTGTTAATAAGCACAACAGAGGATTCCCTAGATGCATTTAAAATTTGAGGACACTGCACCTGATACATTCAAACCTTTATCCAGGACGAGGAGGCAGTGGATACCTTAGCCCTTGCTGACTGCAGGCCTCCTCCAGGGAACCCCCAAGGCTGCCCTGCTCCACCCAACCCCTCTTACCTGGGTGACAGAGTAGGCCAGGGACAGCACAGTAGTGATTGCCAGCACACGCTTGATGCTTGACTTGCTCTCCAGGTGACCTGGAAGAAACATGCTGGTCAGTCAGCGGGGGCCAGCCCAGGTGACTGTGGTAGGGTTGACCCCCAGCCAGGGAGGGGCAAGAAGAATATTGGCCCCAGCAGCAGACGCACCAAAGGCAAGGCCCAGGATAACCACACTCAACTCGATGGCCAACAGGAAGAAGCGGGTGATCTCCCACAGGATCTGGACACAAGAGTGGGTAGAGTGTCAGCCTAGGGGCCCGGTCACCCATCTCCCCAGTGCCCAGCACCCCCCTTGTCAGCAGGCCCAGCCACACCTTATCAGCAACAGTTGCAGCATCCGAGGTGCTGACCGTCATACTGACCACGGCCCGGGCGATGCCCACCAGCGCCACCACAAACACCTGGTGGGCGAGAGGGGGGTGTCGTGGAATTGGGGAACAAGACCTCTGGGAATCACAGGGACAGCAAACCCACATCTCACATCTGCAATGTTCTGATTCCTCAAGAACGGAAGGACTCCAAACTAAACAAGTCAGGAGATAGGGAGACCACCCTCCACTGGCCTGGTCCTCCCCTCTTTGGCCTCAGTGACCCAGCTATGGAATGGTTGTTTAGTGACATGGTAGAGTCAAACTGCCTGGGTTCAAATCCAAGCTCTGCTGCCTCCTGCCTCTATGACCTCAGGCAAGTAACTGTACTTCCACGTCTTAGTTTCCCCATCTGTAAAAGAGTAATAATAGCACCCACTACATCTGATCACTAGGGGGATTAAATAGGTAAATCAATGTAAAAGTGTGCCTGGCACCCAGTCGGGTCAAGGTTCACATCTGCCATTAGTCTTGTCACATTAATGGTTTTAATTCTGAGACGTGGGGGCTGGAGGAAAGGAGGCCACGGGGAAGAGGCATCACAGACCCTAAGGAAGGTGCCACAGAAGGTCAGAGCAGGCCTCAATGGGCAGCACTTCTGCAGGCAGGCGGGGCCTTTCAGAAGTGCCTGTGCATCTGTGGCTTCTGTCAGCCTAGTATTCACCCCTTTCCTCTGCAACAGCCTCATTTCTCTCCCACTCTCCTCCTTCACAAGGTTTGTGGGGAGGGGGTGACTCCACCATTCTTGGCTTCGGAGATTGACCTGTGACCTAGGGCTGGCTACTCTTATATGCCATTCCACTGATTTGCGGGTGGGGGTGGGACACAAGGGAGTTGAGTGAAAGTCAGCCAGGACTTCAGCTACAATCACTGGAAAAGGAAACTGAGGGGATATAAGCCCAAAAGCATTTGGGGATGCTAGGGCTGCCTGAGTGCCATAAGGGAGGAGACTGCTAGAGACAGGGCCATCAGAAAGTCACCAAGCTGAGGAGATAGTGATGGTGCTGACAGCATCGTTGAATCTCTGAATCCAGCCATGCCCAAAGCCCTAGGATCGTCAGTTTCTCAGTCAATACATTTATTCTGGCTTCTGTGGGTTTAAGTTTAGTTTTCTGACAGATACAAACAAAAGAGCCCACATTCATACATACATACTCTGTCCTTTGTGCTATGAAAGCCATGTCCAAGCTTTGGGGAGGCCTACACCACTCAGCAGGGCAGACTGCAGAAGCAACAAACTGCCCAGTGCCTACTGTATGTCAAACCACCACTGGGCAGGAGCTATGCACGCTGTCATTTGGAGGTCACCAGAGTGCCACAAGCAAAATCAAATCCAAGACACATCACATAGGATGGCACTGAGGCACACAGAAGTCAAGCCACTGGCCCAAGGTCTCATTCTGCACAGCTGGATTTGGAGATGGTCTGCCTAAGTGCACTTACTGCTGCCTCCTCTCCAGGACAAGTCCCTAAGAGAAAGAGGGCAGGACCAGTGCCGGTTCCCCTGGCCTTGTTTCACGTTCTTGGGCATTGGCCCTGGTCCCTTTCCCCTGCCTGCTCCCCCAGAAAGAGCATCTGCCTGACATACAGTAGGTGCTTAATATTTGTTGAAATACACAAACAAAATAAATGGTCAGAGAGGCTGTGGGAGAGGGCAGAGCAGAAAGCAGGCCTTGATCCCCATCCCTATCCAACACCACCTCACGGGGGTGGAGATCTAGTCAGCAGACCCACCAACAGCCTCCCCTGCCTCTCTGCCTGTCCACTAGCCACTCCTCTAACTGGGAAGTTCTGACCCAGGCCACAAGGGGAAGACCAGGGAGCCACCCAGCTTTCATGTAGTGATTGATAGCTAAGAGGCATAGAGAGGGGAGGACTCCAGTTAGTCAGGCCTGAGCCCTGAAGAAAAGGAGCTGGATAACCCATATCTTGGGTCTGCCTACTCAGCCATAGCCCTGCTCTCCCCAAGCAACACCCACCAAGAACACTGAGTAAGGAGAATATATGCTCTCCCAAGAGGCAGGAAGTCCGGTCCAAAGAGTTTCACAGAATGTGTCGATGGAAGGGCAGATGAATGGAGGCTTAGTGGGTATTTTTCCCTATCCAGACTCCATTTGTCTTTCCTCTAGTAATGGTTACCCAATTTTCTTCCAGGGACCACCATCCTCTGCTGGTCTGGCTGAGCTGACCCCCAACCTTCCCAACTCCAAAATACCTCTTTCCCCACTAGTCACAGTAATTGGCTCAAGGCTGAACACAGAATCCAAAGTGGGCCAATGAGAGGGAAGCCCAGGTCTATACTGGAGGTTCTTTGCTAGATTGGCAGGGAGGCAAGATATTAGCTCAAAATTCCTCTTGGCTACCTTTGACACCATATGGGAAGAACTCTTCTGAGATAACGCCAGAGGTGAGCAGAGATGCAGAGACAGACAGAGTCCAGAGTCCCCTGGATCCAGCCATACCTGAAGCTGGTTGTCATTACAGAGGCAGTTAATAATTCCCTTTTTTGTTTAAGTCAGTTGGAGTTGGGTTTTCTATCACCAATTGGAGTAAACTCACCAGGATATAGAAGGTGATAAAAATGGGGCTGGAGGTGATGCAGATCTTGGCCCGAGCAAACGGAAGCTTCCAGAGCAGGAAAATGAAGAAGAGCACATTGGGGATGAGCAGCAAGAGGTCCCAGTATCGGACCCTAGTGGACAGGTATAGAAACCAGCTCACTGGTGAGGTTGTGTCTGCCTCCTACCCCCACCCATCTCTCTCTCTCTCTCCATCCCTCACATACACACACGCCAGGAAAACCCACTCACACATAGCCAGCCAGCCCAGCAAGGCTGTGACTGCCTTACCTAGAGCTGCCAATGTCCTCGTAGAGCAGCAGCAGACAGCGATGTGGTACACTGATGTTGGGAGCCAGGGGTGGGGGCAGCACTGTGCTCCCATTGGCCCAAATCTCCTCCTGCAGTGTTTCCATCCCGCCAGCAGCTGGCCTTGGGGTGTGAAAGTCACCATGTTAGCAGTGCAGAGGCTGTGTAGCCCTGGGCCTCTGGGTCTCAGGCTCCCAGTGGAATACAAGAAGTGCTGCCTACTCCCCATGATACCAGGCAAGAGGTGAGGTGTGGTGCTCCCCGCACATGCCCCAACCCAACCCCTACACAGGGACCCAGACCCTTGTCTCAGGCTGTCTTGTGCCCCAAACAATAAAAGCATTCCCCCTCCAGTGACTGAGCCTGCCTCTGTGCCAGACACAGCAATGGAAGCTACTTGGCATCATCCCAGTTAGTTCCTCGAATCCTGGCGGGCAGGGGGGAGGGTAGCAAGAGACAGGGTTCATGTCCCAGTCTGCCCCTTATTTCCTTGTTTGCCCTGTGCCTCAGTTTCCCCTGTCCCTTGAATGGGGGTAACAATAGTGTCCACCCTGTGAGGTTGTAGATAAGTGGCATCAGGTGCCTCCATCAGCCCACACACATGAAGTCCTCAGTAGCTGAGCTTCAGTTCCAACCCTCCAAAACCATGCAGAACCACTTGAAGGCCAAGTGCAGTCACAGCCACCAAGTGCCAAAGCAGGGTATCGTGCATACCTGAGGTGGCCCTCAAGCCCTTGTCTCCCTCTGTTGCCCAACCTGGAAAGATAGGCACAAATAGAGGGAACACTGCACTGTCCCTAGAAGAAACATGGAGGTCTCTAAGTGGAGAGGTGAGGGAATAAGAGGTGCTATGGAGGGAAGTAAAGGGAGCTGCTGAGGCAATATGAGTGGAAAGGGTTGGCAGTCAAGCACCCACATGATGATCTAAGAATGAGGTCAGAGTCCGGCCTGGAAGATAGGAAACCTGGTAGTTTAAGAGTTCTGGAGCCACCCTGGACAACTGAGGCAGGCTTGCAGGTCACAGGACTTGGGGAGGGCAGCAGTAGGGCTGGTCCTGCAATGACCATGGCAGAGACTTCCACAGGGAACTTGGGGGACTCAGGGCAAGTGAGCCAGTTGTGGCCTGGCCACCATGATGTAACAGAGGCCAGCATTTAAAATGATGACTTGAACAGGGACCCTATTACGAGTCTCCACTTCTGGGAAAGTTCCTAATAGCCCCAGGCTTGGGGCTATCCTCATGAGAATGGCAGTTTCCACGAATGGTGGAATACTGCACAAAAATAAGAAGAATGGGTTACTGCTACAGGAAGCAACATGAAAAGCCTTCACAGATACAAATGCTGTGGGAGCCATGCACAGGGCAGACATGCAGTCTGACCCCAGCCAAACAGATGGGTAAAAGTCACATTTGTGGAGGATGGAAGGCAGAGGGGTGGAGGGAGGCACACCAGCTTCTAGTTACTTCATCTGGGTGGTGGTACACAGACGTGCTCACTGTGTCTCAATTCATTAACTCATGGACCTACCATTCATGCACTTGTCTGTATGGGTTACACCTCAGTAAATTTTTAAAAATTGAGATGTTCTTTTACACACCAAGAGCACAGGTCTCTCACTCAGCAAGGTGCAGCCCAGGATACTTAACACCTGTCGGAAAGAAGGATTTGTAGCATTGCAATAGGAATCAGTGCTTACCTGTCACTAACACTTTCCCTGAACAGTAGCAGGCCCAAGGCAGAGCTGGAGGGGATGAAGGGACATCCTCACTATTTCTCACAGCCCTGAAACAAAAGTGCTACCTGCTTAAAGGAACAGAAGACTCCAGAGGGTTAGGGCAAGACCTGGGGCTCAAGGCCATCCATCCCTCTTCCCCACAAGCCACTGACTGACTCTGGGATCACATGCCCACCTGCAACTTGAGGACATACCAACAGTGAAGAACATTAGAGAACATATGCCTGCCCTGGCTGGTGTGGCTCAGTGGATTGAGTGCCGGCCTGTGAACCGAAGGATCACTGGTTCGATTCCCAGTCAGGGCACATGCTTGGGGTGCAGGCCAGGTCCCCAGCAGGGGGCACGCGAAAGGCAACCACACACTGATGTTTCTCTCTCTCTTTCTCCCTCCCTTCCCCTCTCTCTAAAAACAAATAAATAAAATCTTTTTTAATAAAAGAGAGAGAACATATGCCTGACACATATTAGATCCAAAGAAAGAAGTTGGCTCCTTCATTGTTCTCTACTAATGAGAGAAGTGGCCAAAGAACCCCACCCCTTCCTTCCTTCATGCATTCTTCACCACCTGTAGGCCGTGCAGAGCATCAGCTGTGATCCAGGCAGGAGTCTGGGTGCTGGTACACACCTTCCCCCATAGGATCTTCACTCTAGGAGGGGAGGCCTATAGCCAGTACAAAAGCCCATATTTTAAAAGCAAATGTCTAGAGATAAGTGCTGAGATAAGAAGAGCACAGAAGCGTGGGACAGAAGGACAGGAAACAGCAGAGATTGCTGCAATCCCCAACATGCATCCTTTCCTGGATTACTAGAGCCCTGGGATTTTAGCTTGCACATGCCTTCCCAGAACAATGGCCACTCTCCCAGGGCCCCCTAACCCTGGCCATGGCCACATGAATAAGTTTTATCCAACTGGATATGAGCAGTGAGGATTGTCAATTTCAAGTTGTGCCCTTCTCCCTTCCAACTGGCTGGAATGTGGATGTGGTGGTAGGAACAAGAGCAACAATTTTAGATCACAAGACAGAAGCCATGTATTAAAGGATAACAGGGCAATAAGAAACGTGTCTGTGTACCAGACATGACAGGGCTCCATTCATGTCCTGAACAGCTTATACTCAGACTATCATGCAAAAGACAGGAATAATTCATCATGTTATCTCAGCTTTTGTTTGAACAGCTAAGCCTGAATCCCAGGAAACATAAAAGGGTATTACCTCAGACCAGGCTGTCAGACAAGGATGCATTTGAGGTGAGATCCAAATAACTGAGGAGTCAGCCTTGGAACAATCTGGACAAAGAGTATACCAGGGAGAGGACAGTGGTGCAAAGGCCCTGAGATAGAAACAGGCTTGGCCTGTTCAAAGGGCAAAAAACAGGCCAGGGTGGCAGGACATGACATCAGAAAGGTTGGCAGGATCAGGTCAGTCAGGGCCATATGACCACATGCAATGTGATTTTATTCTAAGTGCACCAAGAAAGGTGTTCCGAAGGCAGGGGAAAGCATCCCATTTCCCTGTGGAAAGGATAGCTCAGCTGCTGTGGACAATGGACTAAAGCAGGAAAAGAGTAGAGGCAGGGAGACTCAGGTGCTTTGGCTCCAGTCTGGGCTCAAGAGGACAGTAGCTTCACTAGTGGCAGCAGAGTAGTAGAGTGGAGGGATGTGGGATACCTTAAGGAAGTTAGGCCACAAGACCTGCTGACAGACTTGCAGAGGGTAAAAAGAGAGCAAAGAAAGCAGATGTAGTATCTGGCCTGAGCTCCTGGTTATTTAGCAGCTGAGAGGCCACGATTGCCCATGACATCTCCATCAGACACTGCCCCCTACTTCTCTGCTAACAAGCTGCTATTTTGTTCCAGGACGTCCCTCCGTAATCCCCTTATTTCTGGGCAGGGCCTTCCCCAACATCAGAGAATGAACCTCAATGGGTATAAGCCAGTGGTTATACAGAGCAATACTGGACACTTCAGCAGTGTGTACTGGTGCTCCAGTTTGACACAGGGACTTTAGGGGCAGGGTGCTATGAATTTTTCTTTGACAGAGTCCAGGACTGCCAAATGCACTGTAATGCATGAGACAGTCTACCAAATAAATGATCCTCCTCCCTTTGGCTGACTTTGCACTGCAAAGAAGCTCTGGTCAGTCAAGAAGAGTTAGCCCACTTTTCTTGTCAGCGGCTGTTAGGCAGGACATGTGATGCCCCTTAGGAATCGCCTAAGATAAGTGTTCCTCCCTGACAAGCAGATAGCCCCAAGGACAAAATCCCCCTTCTCTGCACATGTGTATGACTATTGAGGTATTAACAGTGGCCATGCTGTACCCATGTGAGGAAAAGGCCACCATGCTAAGCACAGGGGGCTTACAGCTGGCAGGAGATATGCTACCTCCCTCAAGTCTTCTGGTGACCTGAGATAACTTGGAAGTGACTATGAGACATGTGAGACAAGAAGATTCCACAGCTCCCTCTGCCCCCTTCCCCACTCCTTATGGAGCAAACTTCTGGACTTAGCCCCATACCAGCCCTGGCATAAGGAATGTTGAGCAGCCCCAGCAGGGGCAGGGCTGGGGTGCAGGTCAAACACTTAGCAGTCACAAGGAAGTTTTGAGGCCCCTATAGCAAAGAGAAATCAATGGGGATTAAAGTGGGCCAGGAGCAGGGGGATATGGAAAAGAGTCCAGAGTGTGAAGGGTCAGCAGCTTCTCTTGGCTTTGCCTGCCCAACACTATTTTCCTGAGGAGGACCTCAGCTTCCCCAGTATCTATCCATCTAGTTTCGGTACAGCTGACTCTTCTCCTCCACAATTCCAGGGAATGTGCATGTGATCTAAGCCTGGCCAATCAAGATGCTCCATTGTCCTGGTCAATGAGAATCAGTATTGAGTCTTTTGCTACAATTATTAAGAAAGATACCCACTTTCTCCTGAGAGAAGTAAGCCAGACCTGTGTTACTCTGACCCTATATATGGAGACCCACATGAGAATAAAACCAACACAGAGAAATGTACAGCTGAAAGACAGATGGAAATAGATCCTGGAGAAAGATTGTCATGGATCCAGTCACATCTGAAGCAAGTTATCCCCTGGACCTTTCCATTATAAAATCCAAAAATTTCCTTTTCTGCTTAGGCCTGTTTGAATCTGATTTCTCTAATTTACCACTGAAAATTTTCAAGCTACACAAATTATAGAGTTGGGCAAACATGGTTGCAGTTCTGGCTCTGCCATATACTTGCTGTGTGACCTTGCATGAGTCATTTCCCTTCTCTGAGTGTCACAGGGACAATAACACCTACCTTACAACGTTGCTGTAAGGACCAAAAAAGACCAGAGAAGTAAATGTCTACAAAAGGTCACACACACAAAATTAGCTGCTGTTCTTCTTCCCAGGAAAGGCAGGGGCGTGGAGAGAATTTCAGTCACAGGTCCAAGGGCCCCTGGCAAATCCACACATGCTACAAGGTCTGAGGTAAGAAATGAGAGCATCAGCTGCTTCCTTCCAATCCCCTGCTAATTCAATAACAGCAGAGAACACTCCCTTAGCCCTCTGACTCTCCTAGGGAAGTACTTATATTATCCTCCCTGTACAGATCTCAGAGACGGGTAATCACCTACAGGCCTGCAACCTGTCTCCAGAGCCCAGGACCCCAAAGAGCAACATGCCAAGTGACCCTCTCCGGACCCGTTTCTCTACCTGAGATGAGAAGCCATGCTTCTCAGACTTGAGTGCTGTTCAGATCCAGTAGGCCTGGGGTGGGGCTGACAGTCCACATTTCTAATACACTACCAGGTGGTGCCACTGCTCAGAGTTAAGACGCTGTCACCCATACCAGAACTGCCATTCTGTGTAAAAGCTTATAAAATAACTGAAGCAATAATTTAAAAATATATAAAACATGCCCTGACCGGTGTGGCTCAGTTGGTTGGGTGTAGTCCCACAAAAGGTCGCTGATTCAATTCCTGGTCCGGGCACATGCCAGGGTTTTGGGCCTGGTACCTAGCTGGGGTGTGTGTAAGAGGCAACCAATGGATGTTTCTCTCCCTATCTTTCTCCCTTCCTTCCCCTTTCCCTAAGTATAAATAAATAAAATCTTCAGAAGGAAAGAAAACAACTATGAACACTATCTAGAGACAGACGGCCAAGTGCTTTACATTTGGTAACACACTTAGCCACCACACAGTCTCTAAACTCCTAGGATCCCTATTGTACAGAGAAGGAAAGGAGAGGCACAGTGGAGTTAGGTTACTGCCCCAGGCCCTGGCAAGGTAGCTCAGTTGGTTAGTGTCATTCCAATATGCCAAGGTTTCAGGTTCAATCTCCAGTCAGGGCACATACAAGAATCAACCAATGAATGCATAAATAAGTAGAACAACAAATTGATTTTTCTTTCTCCCCTCTTCCCCTTCCTCTCTCTCTTTAAAAAAATCAATTAAAAAAATTACTGCCCCACATCTCTAACGCTGGGCCCCTGCCTTGGGGTCAGAAGCCCTAAAGAGACAGAGAAGGGGTCTGCAGGCTCAGGAAACAGAATTGGTGGGAAGGCTAGAGAAGACAAAGAAGGAAGGGGTGGAGCCCAGACCAAAGGAATGGGGAAGGGAATTCTTAGAGGAAGAAGTCCTGGGATGCTGAGTGCCCTGGGGCAACCCCTACTAGACGTGAAATCAGAAAGACCTGAGGAGAGAGAGGCTATACTTCTTCATAGCCACTGTAAGGCCTATCAGTGCTTCCAAACCCTAGCAGGTTGTTGAGCTTTTAAACCCCTTAGCCTTGGTGGACACTAATCCTAGAGAAGCCAACTCCTAGTAAACTACCAGCAGCCCAGCCCAGAGCCCCCAGGAGGAATAGGATCCTGCCCTGGGACCCTTCCTTAGCCTTCTAGAACCAACCTGATTTGACCCCTACCTACTGTTCCACCATATTCCCTTCCACTCTTCAGCCCCTGGCTGTCATCTTGTTCTCCAAGCTTGTTCTTCCAGCATTGTCTCACCATTCCAGCCACCTTCTCAGAGCATCAACCATCTCTCACAGCTAGTTCACCCTGTTTTTTTTACAGCGCTTGGCCTCTCTCTGTCTGAAGTGGCCCTAGCTGTGTGCTTATTTGGTTACTGCCTGTCCACCCCAGTCGCCTAGAACAGGGCCCCACACAAAATTAGTTTTCAACAAATGTTATGATTTGGACAAATCCTCAGCACAACGCAGCTAAGACCTTCTGGGATGAGACAGATCCTTCTAGGACCCCACAGCCCCATCCCCACTGCAGAACTGAAAGGCATAGTCAGTCCCCACTTCCTTCCTCTAGTCCAGTGGAATCCAGCTTTCCAGATAGCCTCTCATGCAACAGCAGAATCTAGAGACTGCAGCCTCAGCACATAAACAGTACTCCATTGCCTTTTTCAGGCTACTGAATGCCACAACAAAGCTGGAAGTAGGTCCTATGGCCCTGTTTGTAGATGGGGACGTCTTGGCCTAGATCTCTTCCGGCACAGCCTCAAGCTGCAGGGTGGGCCAGCCTTACTCACTAGCCACAGCCCTGGGCTTGTGCTGCTGTGCATGGTCACTGATCAATCCAAGGGCTTCCCCTCCCTCCCATCCCCCATGGGACTCTCAGTCACCTCGTCCCCTCTTCCTTTAAGACCTCATACCCAGAGGTCCCACTGGCCTTCTGAAACTTCCCTAAGGGTGTTCTCTGGGGCCTGTGCCATGAGCGGGAAGTGGTCACAACTCGGAGTAAGGAGTGAGGACAGATGGGCCTTGGTCCAGCTGTGGTGCTGGGAACGGAGTTCCCGATCAGCTCCGGGCTCCCTTAAAACTGCTACGGGTAGTTCCTAGATACACCCAGGATCCGGGGCCTACCCGCCGGGGAAGGGTCTGGGAAGGGCTGCAGGTGCCGCGGAGGCCATGTATCTCTCTGGAGTAGAGATGTCAGCCCCACAGTAGACCTGCAGGTACGGCTTTGTGCCGTGGTTGGAGAGAGCAGAGGGTCCCCTCGTACCTGAGGGCCCCAGGCCGCGCTCAGGCCCCGCTGCCCCGGTTGCCCATCCGCACCCGCTGGTGCGCGGACCCTGATGCACAGGCCGCGGGACTCCGACCTCCAGCACCCCCGGGCAGGAAGAGCCAACGGCGGCCGGCTCCGCGGAAACGAGGGTAAGAATGCGAGGTGATTCAGCGAGCCGGGCTCACCGGCTCCCAGGACACCGTGCGGCTCTTCCCCGCAGAGGCAACCCGGAAGTAAGGCGCGTCTTTTCCTTCCAGCCAAAACTGCAACAAAAAAAAAAAGCCAAGGTCTCTACTTGGAGCACTCGGGCCCGCCCCAGCCCCCAACAGCCTATAAAATGGTGCTCCTTGGAAAAGAGGATGCAAGCGACTGAGGGAGCCAATCAGATGCCCAGTAGGCGGGGCCCTCTTAAAGAGACAACACTCAGGCGGGGACTGAAAGCTGCTGCGTAACTGGGGAGCAGCTGCGTTTCTCACCAAGAAGGCTGCCAGGTTGGTGGAGGCTGCCACCTCTCCACCCCCGCTCCTGCCAGCTGTCCACAGCTGTCAACGGACCAGTTCACTCCAGCCAGAGATACTCTTCCCCGCCAGACTGGGGCCTGACGGTCCTGGGAGGAGCATAGGCGGAGAGCCCCGTCCTGCGCCACCGCTGCTGCCGCCCTGCATGCTTCACAATGGCAGTCTCGCCTGACCTCTGGACACTTGAGCGAGGAAGGAAGAGTAGGGACAACCCCACCCCTGAACTGTTCATTTCCACCTGCTTGCCACGCTGCTTGGACGGCCTCCATCAAATTGTGCTGGTATTATTAAGCACCATCCATGTTACAGGCGCTAATTTTCACAACCCTTCAGGGCGGCTACTACAATACTAGTAGCATTTGCGAAGGAGGAATAGGAAGCCTAGAGACGTTAAGTAACTTGTCCAAAGCCACACAACTAGGAAATGACAAAGCCTAGATGCTTGGATTTGAACTGCCCCTACTCACATTTTTAACTTCAACAATTCTTCAGTTAACTTGCTGCATGAAGACTTCCCTGTCCATGCCTTCCTGACATCCATTCTGTGTTTTCTCCTTGCTCTTCTCCCACTGACTCGTTATGGCCTGCCCTCCCTCCAGCCCCTAGTGCTCACCTCCCACCCACACCCTGTTCATTCTAGCCACAATGGTTTCTGTTTCTGCTCCTTGACTATACCAAACTTGTTCATGCTTGCAGTTCCCTGCATCTGTCCACTGCCTGGCTGGCTCTTTGTCACATAACATCCTCCTTCTTGGCATTCTAGCTAAAATAGTTGTCCAGTCTTTGTCCCATAATGCCCTTTTATTTCTTTCTGAGGATCATCTCACTAACATGATTATATTCAGAATGACAGAACGTGCTTGTCACACACTCCCTATATCGTCCTGAGGCTGACTCAATGCCTCATGCAAATTGTAGACTCCTACTTACCACAGGAAGTCCAAGATACATACACATCCCATGATAACAAAGTTGCTTCATAGTTGGGCTAAAATGAGACTAGACTCTGTTCTTTGCCTAGCTCCTGCGCTAAGAGGGGAAAGGTTGCCCTAACTAGTGTGGTTCAGTTGGTTGGGCATCATCCTGCAATGCAAAAGGTTGCTGGTTTGATGCCCAGTGGGGGCATATCCCTGGGTTGTGGGTTCGGTCCCTGGACTGGGGCACATGCCAGGGGCACCCAATCAATGTTTCTCTCTCACATTAATGTTTCTCTCCCTTTCTTTCTCCCTTCCCCTCTCTCTAAAAAATAAATAAAATTAAAAAAAATAAAAGAGGGGAAGAGTTAGAATGTCACCACCTTATGACCAATTATGACTTGGTTTATCTAGGACTGTCCCAGCCTGGCCCTAGGCTAGCTTGGACAGTTTGTGTATCAGTCAGCAGAGGCTGTGCTCCATGCCCATACTTGTCTTCATGAATGGGCTGTGGGGAGTCAAAGTCAGCAACTAGAGTTTCTCCTAAGAAGTTACAGACAACACTCCAAATCACACTTAATTGGTAAAGGCAAGTTCTGGGCCACTTCTAACTTCCAAGGGCAGGAAAGCTCTCTCCTACCATATGCCAGAGAAGGAGAAATGGAGTATCTGTGACGAGGCTATCCTCCATCTTTAGCTTTTGTGCTTTTTGAGACAGTACAGACTTCCGGGTAGGAAAAAAACTGTACTATTACTATCACAATGCACAATTCTGCATTTTATACCCTGAGTTTTGAGGTCCACAATTAGGCTCCTATGAGACTTCATTTGTAGAATAACTGAAGGTTTTCTATTTCACTCCCTCCCTTCATGGCAGCCAGTAGCTACTTCACTGCAGTATTTCCATACAGAAAACAGAGTAAACCATCAGCAAATTTCAATAAACTTTAGTTTAATAAACTAAATAGTTTATTAAACTAAACTAAATTAGTTTAATAAACATAGATCTGACTTTCAGTTTCTGTTCCTTGCCCTACATCAGGTTCCTGTATCAAGTGGTTATCCTCTTTAAGCCATGGCCCACAGAAGGAGATCCTTCTACAGAAATGGCTCACTGATAGCAATCAGGGTCCAAAAATAATAGAGACAAGATGGTATTGCTCAGCTGTTAGGAAAAAAGTGGGTGCAATCGTCATATAACCATTGAGGTCACAGTAGCAGCCAGAAGGTTGAATAGATCACTGGAATAATTGGCAGAATGCCCACTCTGGTTCCTTGGTTTAAGTGGTAACAGTTTTCATAGAAGTGAAAGTAAAGTGGAAGTCCCTGATGCTTCTCCTTACCTACCTTCTCCAGCCAAAATAAATAAAAAAACAAGGCCACCTCCTCTGGCAAGAGAGAGCCACTGGACACAGAAATGAAGGTTCCCTGATGGAAGTCAGGACTTCAATAAAGTTGTGGCCCGGGTTGAAAAGCCAGGGAGGGCCGCGGAGCTACCCTCGGAGGAGGAGCCAGCCCCAGCCCGAGGCGCCACCACCGCAGAAGCAGTGCGGAGCAGCAGTCGCATTCATGGCCCACTCACCACTGGCTGTCCAAGTGCCCATGATGCAGTAAATAGGGCGCCCTGGAGGAGAGACCGGAGACAGGATTAACCGGAGAGTCCTGAGGCTGACTTCCTCCCATTTCCGTAGTCCCCATTTGGCGAGGGCAAGCAACGCACCCAAAGAGCCAAAAGCGGGGAAAGTACACAATAGAAGACCCTAAACTGACCAGTGCTGTGGAGCTTGCCGGCCAGTGGGGCCAGATGAGTAGGCAAGGTCGCGAATAAGCCCCCGGGTCTGGGGCAAGCACATGTGAGCCCAGGCAGGCGGGGGATCGTGCAAGGCCGGAAGCCCGCTCAACGAGCCTGCGTGAGAGTGCAGAGAGATCCCAAAAAATAGCCCAGCCCTGACCAAAGCGGTCACAGAGCTGCTCCAGGCAGGAGTCAGACACAGACATTAGACTCCTGGAAGGCTCAAACAAACAACCCAAGGTCATATAGGGTCAACAACTGACATCATCAGAGACAGACCCAGAAAGAAAAGTAAAGGACAAAAATACTTAACAGACTCTCACAAAAATGGGAAGATAAAGAAGTTCCCCCCAAATGAGTGGAAAAGGGGACTCCCCACAGAGAGAGCTAAATGAAAAAGAGGCCAGGGAACTATCAGATATTGAATTCAAAACAATGGTTCTAAGGAAGCTCAATGAGCTCAGCCAGATCAAAGATAACTATGAGAAACTGCAGAGAAACTATCAGGATCTTACAGCAAACTATATCAGCCTGGAAAAGGACATAGAAACTATCAAGAAGACACAAGAGGATATGAAGAATACCATTTCTGAATTGAAGAACACAGTAGAAGGAATCCAAAGCAGGCTGGATGAAGCCGAGGATCGAATCAGTGAGATGGAGGACAAGGTAGAAAAAAGCTCCCAGAAAGAACAAGAAATGGAAAAACGACTCAAAACGAATGAAGAGGCATTTAGGGAAATGCAGGACAACCTGAAACGCAATAATATCTGTATAATAGGGATACCAGAAGGAGAAGAGGAGGAGCAAGGGATAGAGAACCTCCTCGAAAAAGTAATGATGGAAAATTTCCCTAATTTGAGGAGAGAAAGGCTCTCATGGATCCAGGAGGCACAGAGGACCCCACTCAAGAGGGACTCAAAGAGGTCCACTCCAAGACACATCATCATTAAAATGGCAAATGTCAAAGACAAAGAGAGAATCCTCAAGGCAGCAAGAGAGAAGGAGAAAGTAACATACAAGGGGGCCCCGATATGCCTAGGAGCTGACTTCTCAACAGAAACACTACAAGCCAGAAGGGAATGGCAACAAATATTCCAAGCCATGAAAAGCAAGGGCCTACAGCCAAGGCTGCTCTACCCAGCTAGGCTCTCCGTTAAAATAGAAGGGGAAATACGGAGTTTCCCAGACAAGAGAAGGCTAAAAGAATACATCTATACCAAACAAGCACTCCAAGATATGCTAAGGGGACTGGTTTAAGCAGATGAAGGAAATGAATGAGAGAGAGAGGAACACAGGTACAAAGAGAAAAGATGAGTAAGTTTCTATCAGTAATATCTCTCAATGTGAATGGACTAAATGCCCCAATCAAAACACACAGGGTAGCTGAATGGTAAGAAAACATGACCCACACATATGCTGCCTACAAGAGACCCACCTCAGAGCAAGAGATCTACACAGATTGAAAGTAAAGGGATGGAAAAAAATATTCCAAGCAAATGGGCGTGAGAAAAAGGCCGGGGTTGCCATACTTGTATCAGACAAAGTAGATTTCAAAACAAAAACCATAAGGAGAGACCCAGAGGGGCACTTTATAATACGTAAAGGAAGAATCCAGTGAGAAGACATCAACACTGAAAACTTATATGCTCCCAATATAGAAGCCCCCAAGTTTATAAGGAAATTGTTGGATGACTTCCAAAAAGATATAGACAGCAACACACTGATAGTAGGGGATTTCAACACCCCACTGTCAAAAATGGACAGATCTTCCAAACAAAACAGTAATAAACATATTGTGGCGCTGAATGACACACTGAATCAAAGAGACTTAACTGACATATATAGAAACTTACATCCCAAAGAAGAAAAATACACATTCTTTTCAAATGCTCATGGCAGATTTTCAAAGATAGACCACATGACAGGACACAAAGCAAACCTCAGCAAATTCAGGAAAATTGAAATAATACCAAACTTTTTATCGGACCACAAGGCCTTGAAACTGCAAATCAACCTCAAAGAGAAACTTCAAAAAC